TGCAAGCCAACCAGTAGGCCTTAACATGCATCTTGGGAAAGATTAAGGTTAAGTTTAATGTCCACACTAAATCATCAACAGTTATTGTAGATAGAAAGACCATCGAGGAAGTAGACAGTCATGCGTACTGCAGAAAGAAAATTGCAAGAAATGGTGCCCTACTTTTGGAGGTCAAAATGATTGTGATTGGCTGGGCAGCTTTTGAAAAAGTTTATAGCATCATGAGAAGACCCAAGTCCACAAGTGAAACTGTGTTAAGATTGTAGTTCTCCGAAAAGCATCCACACAGGAGTCTGTTCGACAAAATATCAGTTCTAAGCTGAGACCAATATGGAAAACTCAGTGAGGATATAACTCACTATTCGGTAGTAATAGTTCGTTAACCATTACTCTACAACTCATTCCATCTTTAATATTAAGAAAATACTGATAAGTCTTTCCTTTAAATCAAGAAAATAACAGTTTCTGTTTCTCAGAATCAGAGAATGGTATAAAAGACTCAGATAGTTAAAATGGCTCTTTTTATTTTATAAAGCTAAACTTGAACAACAGGCATCTATTCTCTTATTTAAAATCCCTTGGGTCAGATACTTTGGGAATTCTAAATCTTTTCGATTTTAGAATGGTAGTAATTGGTTATTTACTTTATTCGAACTGTTAGCCTCATCTTCATTGCCATATTCATGTTTTGGGCATTGCACGCTTCGACCTTCAGGTGATTGGATTTTTGAATCGAACCCTTTACACATGGCTCAGTGGATAAAGATGTTGGTTAGATCCAGTGACTAGACCCAAAGAGTTGTGAGTTCAATACCAGGCCACAGCAGTTGTGAACCAAAACTTGTAGAGTTATATTGAAAAATACTTTTATAGACTGGAGCACATGATTTTGTGAATTTCCACTATCAAAGCTATTTTTTTGGGTTCAAGAATTAATTTTTTTAAATGTTGAAAAGGAAACTTTTTACATCAAGAATCAGAGATAATTCAAACTCCAAGAGATATTATATATATTATATATATATATATATATATATATATATATATATATATAAATATAATTGATTTAAAATATGTTTTTTAAAATACACAGTTCCAACCATGTTTCAAAAATAGAAGCTAAAAACCCTGAATTTAATTTTGCAATTAAATTAAAAGCATTAGTTCCATTTCATCTTCAAGCGAATATCTTACTGTTCTTTCTTTTTATTTATATACATATATATATATAAATTATAATTATTTTTTTTTAAAATATGATTCCATCGTGACAGAAAATTTCCAGGTTTTGAAACTGAAACTAAATTTATAAATTTAATTATAAAAATTAAACCAAAAATCCATGGTCTCGTTCCACTGTCAAGTGGTGCCTTGGAATAACTTTCTAAGAAATTTACTTAATTTATAAGTTCAAACAATATTAATATTTTGAGTTGTTAAGCTTAAGGAAAATTCAATCTATTTTGATTAGGGATGGTTGGATTTTAATTCCCTTTGACAGCTTATGTACCCAATACAAGTTACTTACAAAGTCAGGTCAAGTCAGGTTGGGTAGGAGTGGCTGCTAACAAATGTATAATTCCATATTCAATGAGTCATCTGGGTTTTCAATGATAAAAAATTTGGCATTTTTATTCATCCGCTTAATTCATATTTTTATACACAAAGATTTTCTAAAAGGGTCATTTAAATATGTGAAAGTCATATTTTAAATATTTAAATTTTATTCTTAAAGATTTAAAGTACCATTCGTCCTTCTAATAACTAATAGCTTATACAGTATTTTTACAAATAAATATATTAGAATTTAATTTCTAATTAATGATTGAATATAAAAATGTATGTTTCATCTCTTTATTTTTTTTTCAAAATTAATTATTACATAAGGAAAATATTTGACAGTGCTTACAAAAAATAGCTGTTCTATTTCTTTGATTTAGTAAATTTTTATTTTTCAAAAACTTAAAGTATAATTTTTCATGTATGCACAAAGGACATGGCTGTAGCTTTCCATTTCCATTTTACTGTTGATGTTTTATTTGTTTAAGTGCCAGAAATATTTAGATAGGGACATTTAATTTCGGTATTTATTATTATTAAAAGGACGTTTGATGTTGGTTCCACCTTCTTTTGAATTCATTCTGTGTGCACTAATGTAGAATTTAACCATGTCTGGATCTTCAATAGGTAAGATATAGCACTGATAAATTACTAATTCAATACACCATTTATTATTAAGAGGAGAGTTTTGAGGATTTCTACAGTTACATAATTTTTCTTTATCTTCATTTCTTTTTATTTTAGGATCTATAATTTTTGATTTTGGTACAAGTGTTTATTCAAGATATTAGCATTATGTTCCTTAATAATCATTTGTAAGTTTTCAGTACAACTGTAACTTAATTTTAGGGTATTTTTATTAAAAATTGTACTGAGTTTATTATCTCTAGGAAAATTTTTATCAATTAATGGAAGGAATTTTGGTCCTAACTTATTTCTTACCATTTGGTTGTATGGGGGTGTATACCAAATGATTTTTCTATTTTTTTCCATGGTGTTAATTTTCATTTTTTATACAATTGAATTTTGGGCATTTATAGCCACTATTCTTTAAAGCTTTATTATAGAAATTACTATGTTTCTTATTATTTTAATATATATATATATATATATATATATATATATATATGTGTCGAGATTTCAAGTTTGACTGTTATAGGAAAGGGAAGGTAGAAAAACTATAATGGCAACTATTATCATTTGAAGCAAAACTCAGTGCAGAAAGAAATGATAATGAATTCTTACTTGTAACTGGCATAATCTTACAGTGACAATCATTTGTGTCAAATTGCAACAACAACAAAAAAAACACTATATGTTGCCTACAATTCTCCTTGTAGAAATAAAGATAGAAAATAAAGTTAGGAATTAATAGTTTTGGTAAAATGCTTTGAATGAGAGAGCAAGGTCGTAATGAAGGAAGGAAAAGAAAAAAAAATACGGCCTCTGGCTATTTTAGCATTTTATATCTCTCTCTTCAAACACATATTTTGACTCCCCTACAATCAGATGAGGTCAATTGGAACACATTTCAATAAATTTTCTGTGAAAATGAAATAATATCTTTCATTATATTTTCGTCACAAGTTTAGAGTTGAATTCCCTCATTTCTCCCTTTCCACAAGAGTTTCGATGAAGTAAGTACACAAAGTTTTTACAATATATATATACATATATATATATATTCACAGAAAATATACGTCCTCCGAAAATTTCTGACATTCAGGCCGGTAAATGTAGTTTAATACTGTTTATTATAAACAGAGCATTTATTTAAATATTTGTATCTATAAAAAGAATCTATAAACATAAAAATGTCTTAAAATAATTGTCAGACTTTGTTCATTTCATAATGTGTGTATATATATATATATATATATATTTTGTATTACAATATATATATTAATAGTTGAATTGATGAAATATAATCCACACCCAATTTGCAATCATGTCTTTTAAAGTTTTCCATTGTGAAACTACTAATATTCACTAAAAAAAAAAAAAAAAAAAAAAAAAAAAAAAAAAAAAATAAAATAAAATAAATAAATAAAACAATTTTTTTACAGAGAAAGTACTTAGAGGGCCTACTAATAACAATATTACCAACTATAAATACATGTCAAAAACATTATATTGCCTCATCACCCTTTATCAAGTTAATGTATTTTTATAAAAAACAAATGGTATGTACATAAAAAAAAACGTTCCCAAGTCAACATGCAAAAGAACAAGAAACATACCAGACACACATACGCAAACATTCCTCATGCTATCCTCTTTATTTATAAGATCCAGATCAGGCCCAAAATGGAGTACTGTTGTCATATTTAGGTGGGAGATGCCCAGACCGCACCCTCCAGCCTTGGTTCAAAAGCATTTTCAAGCCCTTGTGGGAGACAAATTATTCTCAGCTGTTTAACCTTTCCCTCACACAGGCAGGATGTGGCAACCCTCCTTCTGCACTACCACTACTTCTACAGAAAGTGCTTGGATGAACTACATTCCTGGGTCCTGCCAAGGCAAACCTTCTCAGAAAGAACACACCACTTACATATTAGCAAATCACCTACATTCCCTCCATATCTCATTGGTGAGAAGTAAGTTCTGTGAACCACTGCCCCATGGAAACAACTCCCAGCAGGATGATTTCCCGATCAATCCTAACCTGTTCAAGGCTTAGGTTAAACATTATCTTACACTCCTATATACACAAATGACTACCAAATGTAATTCTCTACCTTGAGTGGCCCCTGGGCCTTGTAAAGGGTGAACCTTGCTGCAAGAAAAAAAAAAAAAAAAAAAAAAAACTATCTATAAACACATGTCAAAAACATTATATTACATCACCAACCTTTATGAATTCAACATATGTTTATCGAAAACAAATGGCATGTACATAAAAAACTTTCCCAAAACAACATGTGAAAAACAAACGTATTGGACGGACACACACACAAATATACATTATCATCCGAATCCCACATAGACAAACTACAATTTTTATACACTTACATATATATAGTAATATTTATGATTTTTCAGGTACGCTTGAAAATCTGTTAATTTCTTGAAACTTCAGATGGATGTATTGTCTCTTTTTGAATTTGGAATGCCACAAATTATGCTAACGTTGGTTTAATGAGTCTAATGTACATGAAACATGATTAAACAATGAAAAATCAAACAACACAAAAGTAAAAATACCAGAATTTCTTTCTTTCTTTTTCTTCATGTCTCATTCTCTGATGAAGCTTTAATAAAAGTGAAACGTTAGATTGATAAACGTTTCTATTTGTTCTTTATCTTATCATTACTTAGTCAAGTAAGTAAGCTTTTTTTATCTTTTGATATGGAATAAATAAAAGAAATCCACTTTATCAAGTAATACAGTAGTTATTTATTACTTTTAAAAAGAATACAATGGACAAAAGCAGAACTACCTAAAGGTAGAGTCCCTCTGGAGTACCTTCATTCTTCCTATAGAGCACATTTTCCTTAGCCTTCTTAAAATCTTCATTGGTCACTTTCATCCGTCTTTCCCGCAGAGCCAGTAAACCTGCCTCTGTGCAAATGGCCTGAAAAAACAAAAAAACAAAACCATTAAAGTTAAACAGAAAAGAAGGAAAATGGATCGGTACCACATTAGTAATACTTCAGTTTAGATATTTTTTATATTATTTGCTTTCAATATTTAGATGAAGCATTTTTACTGTATTTATTCTATTAACAGTTTTATTTTCTCTTCTTATTGTTGCTTTCTATAAGAACAACAATTTTGGATTCATAAACTCTTTGATCATGAAAATGAACTGTGCAGAATTGGAAAATAAAGTAGCAACTTCTAATTGGAATTGAATTCCTATTCAACATATCTTTCTGAATGCCATCTTAATTAACTTCCCTGGCTATGAAGACAAATTTCAATGGCTAAGTAGTGCCCAATTCTCTAGTCATTCTGACATTCCCCCACCTCCTTTATGAAACCCAATGCCATTTTCAATTTTCTACCAACAAAAAGGTACATTATATTTTTAAATTTTAGATTAAATATTTTCTCTATTATTTTTAAGCTAGCTTAAAAGCCACACTCTGTGCAAACTTTTTAGCTAGTTCCCGCAGGGGACTAATTGGGACTCCGGCCCAAAACAAAAGGGACCAGCTTAGAAAACAGCAATGATAATTTTGAAGAAATAACTTTGAATTCCTCAATTTTTAAATTCTCAAAGTTTTGCATTACTTTAAACTCAATATAGATTAAAAACTTTTAAAATCTCTAATTTTTTTCTGTTATTTTAAAATTTGAATTTTTAACTGTTCCCTCCTCAAACGGACACAAATCCCAATATTTGTTTCATTATAATACTTATTGAGAAAGTGTAACAATATATAAATGTTATTAAAACAAGAAAATTTTATTTGCTGGAATATCCATCCATTAGGATTTCATACCTCATATTTTTGCCCTTAATCTAACTTGATGAGTTTCTGGGACAAACCCTTGCAAAGAAGGGTACAATCCTAATTAAGAATTAAGTAAAAGTTGCAAAACCTACAGAAAAGTAGCACCACAAAGTCATCGAGAGACAAAAAGCTACATTACCGTTTGGTTACTTTTTTGAAATGATTAAATAACATTTTTTAAAAGTCTAATTTGTAAAAATTAGACTTCTGAAATTACAAACTGCCTCTGCCACCATATAGAATAGGAAAAAAGAGGAGAAAACAAAAAGACAAAATTTTTGTGTATGTCCCACTCCCCACTATCACCCCCCCACCCTTTTTTTAAAATCATGCCAACTTTGTATAACTTGGTTCCTAAATACTGTAAACTGTATAGAGACCGTAGGTAAGGAGGATGTATAAAAAAAAATCACCGACTTTATCCTTTGATGCCTGTCAGACAAGTGAGTTAGAAAAGGCAAACATAGGAACAAATTAAAATAGCAGTTGATAAATCTGATAAAAAAAAGAAAAAGAAAAGAAAAAAGTTTCTATTTTAAAATCATGATTTTCATTTGAAGCAGATCATACTGTTTTTTTTTTTTTTGTTTTCACAGAAAATAAGCCCCTCTACTGTTGTGAATACAAAGTCTGGGAAAGACTACTGAAAACCTCATCTATGCAACTAAATCAAATTGTTTTTAAACATAAAAATGTAGTTGAAGAGATTGGAGAATTCAGTACTATACAATAAATAAAAATCACAAGAGGATGACATACTTTAATGTCAGCACCAGACAAATCATCTTTGGCCATTACATAGTCATCAATGTTTACGTCTGGAGCCAGAGTCATGCGGCTAGTGTGGATGGTGAAAATGCGACGTTTGGTTTTCTCATCGGGAAGTGGGAATTCAATTTTCCTATCAATACGACCAGGACGAATAAGAGCAGGATCTAATGTCTCTATACGATTGGTAGCCATAATAACCTGGAAGAGAAAATATAAAAGAAAATAAAAATAAGTACCATGTCAATGATACATTATAATTATTTAAAAAATGAAATTATTTTATTTATACTGAAAAAAAAAAAGTAAAAGCCTTAATTTTAAATAACACTTTTGTATGATCTAAGGCAACCAACAAAATCAACTGTATATACAAAACATTAGTACAAAAAAGCAATTATTACAATAAGAGGTCCTATGTCAATATGAATAAAATCTGTGATATGGAAGTGATGTCATAGAATTTCTCTTGTAATGCTCTGATGACATCACAGAATTCTGACCCAGTTTTCAATAAAAGACTAGCATTATTCTTTTGTTTAGTCATCAAACTACACTGTCCATGTGGGCATAATGCTGAGTAACTACAAAAGAAATTTACGGCCAATGGTTTAAAGTTGCATTAGGCAATGGCAGATGGCTCAAGAATAGATATTTATGAGATTAGGTCAACTTATTGCAATGAGATTTCATTTGTTTGTTTAATGGCACATCAATTCCTTATGGGTCATTTAATGCCAAAATTTAATTTTCTTGAGAGCTTTGAAGTAATAACTATATATGTTATTCTGCTCTCAATTGAATATATGGTAGATGATACTCAGCTTTTGTGCATATACATGTATGTGTAGATATAATTACTAGAGGCTGTGATATATGTGACTTATGTTGCAGTTGAAGTTATACTTTGGAATACAGTTTGGTTTGGTTTTTGTTTTACAGCATATCAACCTCAAAGGGTTATTTAATGCTGTCAAAATTTTTATTGCTGGTAATATGTTTTTCTTCAAAAATCTATTTCTGGGAATATTTTTCCTTGAAGAAATCTATAGCTGGTCATATTTTTTTCAAAGAATGTATAGCTGTTTGTATTGCTGGTATTTTATTTTTAAGTATTGCTGATAATTTTTCCTTCAAAAATTATTGCTGGTCATAATTTTTTTTTATTACAAAATATTTCTGGTATTAAAACCTATTTTTACACAAGTTTGGGTGTTAACTATTTACCCATAGCTGGGACCCTAACAGGTGCTACCACCCTGGGTCAGGGTGGACCTGGGAACACCAGCAATTAAGAGATGGTTCCACGCTCCTCAAAACCTCCTAATCAGAGGCCTTGCTGTTGGACATAGTTTATCGTCTTACCCAGGACGCAGATGTAGTTTATCGTCATACCCAGGATGGGAATACAGTTTGATTTCTTTCAGAAATTGTAGGATATTATATGGATTAATGCCATGAAAGAGTTCTTTCATGTCAGTTGTTTGATTGGTGGCATATTAATCTCTATGGGTTATTTAATACCAAAATGTGAATATTTTGAACACAGTTCTATGACTTCAACTAAATATATTTTGAATACAATTGTATGCCTTTCACCACAGATAAAATGTATTGCTGGTCATTTTGCTTCAAGAAGGTATTGTTGGCAATTTTACTATATATATATCATTGGTAATTTTGTTAATATAAAAATGTATTGCTGGTATTTTTACTATAGAAATGTATTCTTATACTTTCATACTGTTTTGATTTTGTTTGGCAAGGGAGGGTCATGATTTACCCATAGATGGGACCCTGGATCAGGGTGGACCTATGAACAACTGCAATTAAGAGGTGGTCCCATGCTCATCAAAACCTTCAATCTTCCAATCGGAGGCCTTGCTGCCAGATGTAGTTTATCATCACACCCAGGACTACTGCTGTGAGGAACAAACTGATTATCAATAGCTTATATGCTAAGCACAAAACTACAACTTCAGGTTTTGAACATCTTTAAAGTATATAAACTGGTGCACAAATCCACACTGAGAGGAGACTAAGTAAGAACTACCTATTAACGACTTGTATAGCGATCAGACTATTTGTCACTCTCTGCCCAGTGCCTCATGGCAGACAAGATCTCCTGGTGGGGTTCCTTCAATTGAATTGTTCCACAGGGTGGAGTGATTAGCCCCACACGCAACTTCTGTACTCTGAGGAAGGGTTGGTTTACTGTTCAGGCTTTCCTTCCCTTATATGACTAGGTGTTCTCATGCTAAGAAGTTCCATCTACCCAGGTTTTTTTTCTTTTTTGTATTCAGTTTTCCTTCTGGACTGGCTATAAACCAAGGTTGAAAAGCCCAGTCTGTCCTACTATTTAAGCCATAACTTAGAGAAGAGATGGATTCACACCTTACCCAAGAGTATTTGCATGAAAATGAACATAAACATGAATTTGAAGTCAGCTCACCAACAATTTCTTGTTCCAAGTCATAATACACCACCCACACATCCTACCAGACAGCTACTGAACTAGAAAGAGTTATCTTCTCTGATTCTTAGGCAGAAAAACAAAAATACGAAATTAACAATGACAGATTCCTCTTCTTCTGCCCTTGACACCAGAAGGAGTTGTTGGGGTGCCAACATGCCGAGCTGTCTACCATTCTCCTCCATTTGTCACAATTGTGTGCCAGAGACTGGGTCTCCATAAATGGTTTCTTGGTGTGCTCATCATGTAGCATGTCTTAGATGTTTTAACCAGTAGGAGTCTATCACTCTCCATGTTAGACCACAGCAATGTCCTACAACTATGTGGCTTGCCTTGGTCGTGAACATGTGGCTGTTGTAGTCCATCTGAGGAACCCATCCGCCCTGGCTGGTGTCCTGCATCAAGACTGTCCTTCACCCAGTGGTTCCATATTAACACCACACCCTTATGTAAGTTTAGCCCATCAGCTGAAACGGTTTCAGCATGGCAACTTGGAGCCATCATAGGAAATGGTTGAGGACCAGTGATGCCCGTCCACCTGAAGGTGCAGCCTGCCAGACATATAGATACTAACTGCAAATGCTTTCTTTTTAATGATCAAATAATTAGGATTTTATTAACAGATCATTTTTAGCCAACATTTTTGTGGAATTGACAGAAAGAGAAAGCAGAAGATATTTTGTCCTTTATTATTTGTTTTTGGAAGTCAATCAAAAGTTTACAACCAAGTAAACAAAAGACATTAAATTATCTTGGGCTTCTCTTGTTCATTTATTATCTTTAAAAAGAGTTAAATGAACAGAGATATCAATGAAAAGGTAATTTATTACGACAGGTTGAGCATTTTTTATCTGAAATCCCAAAAAGCTGTGATTTCATTTGCCCTGGGTGGGGGTTACCCAGCCCAGCTACATAAACCTAAACTGGCATCAGTTTTTTTAGCAAGCATCACAGCAACACCTTAATTCATGGATTACTTATTAGATGTTTTGTACTGAGTAAAGATATTATTCAAAAAGTCCTGCTGATACCTATATGGATAGTGAAAAGAAAAAAAAACAAAAAAAAAACAAAAAAAAACAAAGCATTTATGTTTATCAACATAACAAAAAGTCAAATTGTTGGAAAAACTAAACAGGGGTGTAAGGGTGAAGCATCTGATTGAGGAGTTCGGTGTTGGAACAACCACTATATATGATCAAAAGAAACAGAAGGAAAAATTGTTGAAGTTTTATGCTGAAAGTAATAAACAGAAATTAACAAAAAATAGAAAAACACTACACAGAGCAAAAAATGATGAACTCAATTGTGTATTGATAGAGTCACAGTGAGCATATGCCACTTATATAAAACTATCTTCAGGGTATATATATATATATAAGCAGTGTTATGAAATATAAAGAGATATCATGTTTATGCTTGGATTTCATTCTCAAGCTGCTTCATTTTATAGATGCTATATACAAATAGCCTGCATTTCAAAATAAAAATTTTAAAAAAATCTGGAAACCAAAACACTTCCAGTCCCAAGAATTTTGGATACAGAATTCTCAACCTGTATAAACATTATTTTTAGTTGATACACATATTTGAGTGGACGTTACCAATCTTAAACAGTGAAATTAATGTCCACTGGCCTAGATAACAGAAAGTCTTTCTGCTATCTATATTGGTGAGCATTAATTCTAAGGTTTAAAAAATGAAATATGTATAAAAAAATATGTGCAAAGTGTCATAATCTTGTCAATGGCACAATACAAGATGACAATTATAGACTATGTGAATGATGCTGATTCTATTCTTCCAAAAGAAATTCTTGGCTGTGTGGGTAGCATAATAACAATCAGTGCAGAAAATGGAATCAGCAAACAGAGTTCAATTCCAGCTGAATTCCAGTAAAGGGACAAACCTATCTCTTCTCCCCAACACATCTAGGAGTTAAATAGCAGAGCAGGATGGAATTTCTGGCCATGGACAGCAAATAGTTTAGGGAGAAGGGTAACTGAATTCAAAAGTTGCTTGTCATATAATCAACAGTTGAGTATATGATGGGCAACTTTACCCTGTGAAACCTATTTGCTACTGAAACCAAATCATCATCACCTTGTGCAACATTGTTGTGGCTCTATACTCCAAGGTTCAGGGTTAGATTATTTAATGTCAAATTTTGTGAGGATCAAACTCACTACTTGGTAGTAATAGTCAACCAGATTAGCCTCCCTGATCATTATCCCACAGTGAGGCACTCATTTTAGAGGTTCAATTCAGTCCTTGGAGACAAATAACAATGGTAGCTATCATGTCTCATGACACAATTTATGATTAGCTATTGAGAAAGAGAGCAGCAGCTGAAACAGAACCCATATTGACAAAAGACAATTATGCCTTTGTATGAGAGAACAAAACAACTTTCAAATCAAACCAATATCAAGCTAACAAACCAGTAGAGAGGATAGAGTTATAGATGGAGTCATTTAGATCGTTCATAAAATGGTTTATGGGCTGATCTTACAAAGCCAGTGATAGTGAGCTTGATCTTTGTCAAATGTACAAGAAATGCAGTCATATATCAGTTCTACCTATCAAAGTACAATTCAGAAAAAAAAAAACTCACTTTGACATCCCCCCTGGCATCAAAACCATCTAACTGGTTGAGCAGTTCCAGCATAGTTCTCTGAATCTCTCTCTCACCGCCAGAGTTGGATTCATACCTATAAAAAAAAAAAGAAGATTTAAAAAGTAAATGGTCAAGAACATAACACATCTGGAGTTAAAGTCAATACAAGAAAAATGGTATTGAAAATGGCTACATTCACATATAATATTACATGAAAATGGAAAATGTAAACTGATTGAAATAAAATGCTTGATTATTTATTGCTTGGTTTACCAGAATGAAAACTAAGCACCAAAGAATATAAGGGGTGACAGTGTGAGTTAATAGTGCTTGCTTGACAAAACACGAGATGCCCTGCGTTTATGATTGTATGCCAGATGCCCTGTGTTTATGATTGTATGCTAGAATACATAAGAATTTAGATGTTTTGTTGTCTTATCAGCTGAAAATCATAGTCTGTTGCTGTGTATATATGTCCAGCTATTGCAATACCAGAAAATTTAGAAAGGTTCGAAGTGATACTACCTGGTAATTCTCAGAGTATATATATTTTTCATATTTACAAGAGGATGCTGAAAATTCTTAGTCAACCAAAAAGTCTTTCCAAAATAAAAACTGATGTTTGATCATTTGGCCAGACGTTTTGAAGTATTTTTGGAAGTAACTTCCTCTTAGCCTTGTGCCAATCTAAATATCTATAAAGGGTTTTATTATATTAATTTATCAGATTTGGTTTTGTGTTTCTTTAAAGTCTAAATGTCTCTTTGAAGACTGACTTGAATTCCTGTTAGCAACAATACCCACCTCTTTCATTGAGAATTGTCCAATGACATTTATCAAAAACACAGCACCCATATACAAATGCACCAGGTATATGCATATTGTCACAGTAAATGAAAGCAAAAATCTTTTCACAAGCAGCGAGACTAAAGTGAAACCATCTGGTGTATTGTAGCTTGGGAGGGAGAAGAAAATGAAATGAGTACCTTTGTCAATATCATACATCAACATGAATTGTTTGAAGTGATTTACCTACAGGACAATAGAAACATTTCCTTGCAAGTATAAAAGGGGATAGATCACTGGAGCCGAATATCATTTCACACAGAAAATTCACTGATATCTATGCTAGATTTGGGAGTGACAATAGTTGCAGGTTACCCAAATCTATTGACTGTCTGATTAATAAAAAAATCTTTGAAGTGCATTGATTAAATATGAATCAAGTGCATCCATCAGTTATACTTTAGATGTTATCATCAGATAAAAGAGAGCTATAGATGTCAATATTTGTCTCTCAATTTTTTTTTTCATTTTTGTTTCATTAGCTCTGATACATGTTAAAACACTTAGACTTTTCTTTATCAACCTTTCTATATTTTTGTCTATGTTTGTCTAATGCACCTTTTCATGCAGTAAACCTTTTGTTTTATACAATACTTTGATGAGTCTCATGAGACAATTCAAGTATTTATTGCTGCAGATATTTGGGTCTGACAAAATAACCACCCATCAGAAACCGACCAGATTTCTAAGTCCATTTCCTAACATATGTAGAAGACTGAATCTGGTCATTCTTAACTGTTCTTTATTAAATCATTGTCCAACTTGCAGTGAGTATCTGCTAGTAAATGTTGAAGAACTTCTGATAGGGATATAAACTTTTGGACATTGTAATAAATGAACTCAGATATGCTTCAGTGGAATCCTTCTTTCTCGCATCTTGTTCATTAATATCCAATAGCTTAAATGACAATACCTCAACTGTATTTAAGTATATATATATATATATATATATATATATATATATATATACACACACACATACACACACACACTATTTGTATACTTTGGATTTCGAAGAATCACCTAAAACTTGAAGGCTGCATACCTTTTCAAAACTAATTTACTAGATCACTTTGGGTCAGAAGAACTTTCTTTGCCTGAAGGGTTTTTTATCATATATTCAATTGCTAACTCATTACTGCATAAAGTTTCTTTTGAATTTTTAACCTCTTTTGTCTAATATTTGTCGCTGGCAATCTTAGGGCTGGAAGATTTTAAATCTTAGGTAACCCTCTCTCTACAAATTTGGATGCCACGAGTTAATGGATTAAATAATTTCAGCATCCTAGCTTAGTTGGATTTAATTAAACTGAAGACAATATGAAATCATTAAATTCAGAAGGTGACCCCAACCTTTTAGTTTATAGTTTATCTAATTGTAAATGAAACGTTTTGTAATCACAACATCCATTGTAAGATGCATGATGATAATTAGCCTGCATGGGGGGGGGGGGGAGTACAGAATTTTCAAAGAATGATGATTTGATTAAAATTTCAAAATTAGTTATACAAATACAAATGAAATCATTCACAGTCCCAAATAGCAGTGAATGCCTCTCTCTTCATTTGATTGTTAGAAAATTCTTATTGTGTGAGAGTTCTATGTGCATATGCACCAGATCGTATCCTATCATCAATTTATCTTTGAGACAAAATAGCACCAAATCTCATCAGCTCAGTACCCACATTCAGGTTTGTTTTCAGGGTCGGGTTAAAATGAGTAATCATAGTGTCACCAGTGATGATATTTTTGAGCCTGATAAATGCCCATTTGTCATTGTCATCCTATTTCCACAACGTGTCCTTTCACAAAAACTGGTACAAAGCTTCAGTTTCAGAAGATAAGTTTAGTATAAACCTGGCTAAATAGTTCATTAGTCCAACCTACCAAGTTTTTTAGTCAAGTTCAGTTCCTAAAATTCCTCACCCATCTGAAGCTTAGCCTCAGAATTGGCATGACAAAAAAACATAGAAAAGAAAAGAAAAAAAAAAGGTGGCATAAACAGCAGACACACACTTAAGATCTTTTTGAACACCGATTTGGATTCCTGATAACAGCAACACCCTCCACTTTCACTGGACAATATTCAAATATATACGACATGTTCAGCAGAGAAGGGATGTATTCAGCAAATTGAAAATTGATTTTTTTCACTGCAAATTATTCATTATATCATATCCAAGTATTTTACAAAAAATTAAAGACGATTACACAATATTTCAAGCCCAATTTAGGTTTATAGTTGGTAACCATGCAATGAGATGAGGTAACATAAACCATAGATTTGTCTGCAGAATATCATTACATTATTGTTATATAATTATAGTGAAATCATTTAAGGTTTTTTGTCAAAAGCATTTTATTTTTGCTCATATATTAATTTTAAAATATTCCTTTGTACAGGTTTTATTTTTTAAATGGAATAAGATCATTCTAAATTTCAGAATTTTGGTATTGTCCATCAAAATGCCTGGAAGAAAGTGATCTAAAAACAACAATGAAAAGAGTGATAAGAAAGCATAAACGAAATACTTCCAGTTTGTTCATTTTAGGAAACATATAGCATTGCAGCCAAAGTATTCTAAAATGTTGTCAATAACAAAGGAGAAAATGAAAAATACCTAACAACAAATGGAATATAGCATCAAAATTTATATTATTTTTATTTATTTGTTATGTAACTAAATATATAATTGTCAACAATGTTTCCATAAAACTTGATATTTCCTGTAATTTCTTAATAAATATTAAAATTTGTTATTATTTTGCTTAAGTGTAAGGTAGTCCTACATTAACAATGAAAATAAATGTTGATCAAAACTGCCTAAAACCTTTAAGCATGTATTGCCGCAAAATTATCAAATGTTGAATATGCCCCCATCTCTGCCGAATGTGTCATATACCAAACACAGAAGCCATATGAAAATGTGCTAGGGACATTTACATTGTCTCAAACAATTAAAGCAAAAACTCTTTCATAAGCAATCTCATTACTCACAGAAACAGAGTTCAATTCCACAACAGAATAGTAAGTACAATGAATGCCAAATGAGAAGGAAAATTAAGGCCCTAAAATAGAGATTATGAAGATCAAGTGGTCCTTAAAATCAAAAGTAAATAAAAAAGAATTCATCATCCAGTATCAAAGCAATTTTATAGAAACAATCAAAAAGAAATCTGCCCATCAAAAATTAAATCTTTCTGAAGTAATTGCACATAAAGTTTATCATTTCTTGTTCTTTAAGGAACTTCAAGATTAACTTACCGTTTTGTTCCTACAGCATCAATTTCATCAATAAAGACAATCGAAGGAGCATGTTCTTCAGCTACTCTAAATAATTCCCGCACTAGCTTCGGACCATCACCCTGAAAAGAAAAATACATTTATTTATTTAAATATGAGTCTTGAGTGTATAAAAGAGAAAAAAAAAAGTGAAAATCAAAAATCTTACTCCTTACAGACACACATGATGTCAGTAATGTTTTATGAAATAGAAAGTTTTTGCATAACTATAAAAAGATTAACTGAAGTACCATCAACATTAGTTAAGAGGTCAAGACTTAGATTGCAATTGGTTCTAATGATAGTAGAAAAATTTCTTGATACTCTAATGATGAGTTGGTGGGAGTCAGTCAGGGTCAAGTTATGTGAAACCCCTGGATAAAGCTGAAAAGTAGTCCTACATGACTTCTAATACCAAGGTGAAAGAAATGAACTGTTTAACTTGGAAATGTCTCTCTTACAATCTTTATTATCAATTAAAAATGTGTTATTATCATTATTTAAATTATTATTCTCTTTCAACATTACTGGTCAGGAATATGGACAGTGTTTATTAGCCTAAAAGAAAAAAAGAGAATCTATTTGTTGCCGGTAAGTTTTCAATGAAAAAAATACTATGAAAAGCAGAAGACATATTTAAGGAAAAAATTATTCTGAAAAATTACTTTTTCAACACAAATATATTTTCTTGTTTGGTTATTAATAACTATAGTCTTACACTGAATGATTACAAATGTTAATTGTTATTACAAAAGAAATATGCATACCAATTTTAAGAGCTCTATATTTTTTTTTTGGAATCAGTACCACCTCACGCAAAGCAGTAAAGCCACTAAGACACAAGGGATTACAAGGTATGGATGAATTAGAAACAGAAACAATAATAATGAGCAGAAAGAGTAATCAGGAGGACTGTAAATAGCCATTGACATTGCATTTAAATTTTTGCAGAGTAAAGTTGGCTGGAAAGCATTGAGACGGAAGAGAGTTCTTCAGGTGATTGGAATGTCAAACTGAACCCTTTATTTCACTCACTGAGGTAGACTGTTCTAGTTCCACGTGCCATGTTTAATGGATGTCAGTTATCAGTTATCTCCCTGTTAATTTCCCTCTGAAAGTTCTCCACTGCCTTAGTTGGGTATTGAACTCACACTCTTTGGGTCCTGATAACTGACATCCATTAAATGTGGAACTAGAACAGTCTACCCCAGTGAGCGAAATAAAGGGTTCAGTTTGACATTCCAACCACCTGAAGAAGGCTGGAGCACTTTTTTGTTTTTCAATTGCCAGCGAAGAAATGTTGTAATAAATATGGTGACAAAGATGAGGATAAAAGTCTGAATAATGCAAATAATGTACATAATACCTCATTTCAGAAACAGATACTTTGAACATGTTATAATGTAAATTTAGAGCATTTCTTTCTAATGAAGAGAATACCACTGAAATGATCTCTATAAAGTTATCATTTAGGGGTTCAAAAAAGACAAAATCTAGTTAACAGTCTAGGCCAGTGTTTCTCAACTGGCGTTCCACAGAACCCTAAGACTCCGCAAAAGGCCCCAGATAAAAGCAAAAGGTGAAAAAAAAAGTTCCACTTAAACTGGTGAGAGTTTGTTTTGTTTTAAAGCTAATAGCGACAACTTTTTGACTTCTTTTCAGCCTTGCCAGTAAAGGATAAAAACAAATTTTGAAGAAAATGATATTTTTTCATTAGATTTTTCTTTTCATTCTGCTTACATTTATATTATAGGTATATGATATTGGTTACTTAGGTTTATTTTTTTACATCTGAGTTTAGAATTTTTTTGTGTGAATGAAAACGCCATGATTAAGTATTACAAACAAATAGTATAAATTTTATTTAGCATTACCAAAATATTTGACAAAGAAGTATTAATTTTTCCTTAAACCAGTTATTCAAAAATATATACAATGATATTTACCACATGAACTACAATGAAAATAAAATGAGAAGAATATGGTATATAATTTTGTTTTTGCACAGGGGTTCATTGAGACACGTAATTTATTTTAAGGGTTACACAAGGGTAAAAAGGTTGAGAAACGTTGGTCTAGGCAAATAGAGAAAACTTAACAGGCCAAAAATGCCAGATGCAGGCATGATAAATAACAGTAGGTAAATTTGCATATGGCCTTTCACAAAGCACAACCCATTTTTTTCCCAATACAAAATGAAAGCAAGAAACTCCAAAGTGATTGATATAAAATAGTTAAGGAAATTCACATTGAAAAAAATGTTAATTACCAAATATTTCTGAATCAATTCTGAGCCCACAACCCTGAGAAACGTAGCTGATGTTTGATTTGCTACAGCTTTGGCTAGGAGAGTCTTTCCTGAAAAGATTAAAAAAAAATAATGTGAAATATTAATAACTCTTTCACTATTTTAGGTATGAATTTACCTCCCTTTATATATTTGTTCAGTTGAAATGCATCATGAGAAATTACTATGAACATCTTCAGAACTTTATATATTGTACTTTAAAGACTCATTTGCATTGGAAACATCTGATTGAGAAAACGAGTCAGTAATCTCTGAAAGATATGTTAAAGAGTAAGTTTAGTAAGTGAACATTTATTGTAATTTGGTTTTCTTATTTCATCACAGGAAAATAGGTAGCTGCATTAGAAACTGCAACTTGGTCTGGACTTTGAACTCAACATATTTGGCTTATTAAATCTAATGAAAGAATTTAAAAAAATGAAGTTATTAAGCTTGCATTGTGTGTGTCATTTGATAAAATTAAAAGGGATAGTTTTAGAAGATATAATTTATATGGAATAAGCGACAAATAATTTATAAGCATCTACATTTATTAAATGGTAAAATACAAGGGAGATAATTCGCTACACAAAGCTTTTCCAACATTAATAACTAAAGCTTTTAATCAAATGGTATGTTCAGTTCAATAAAGAATATTGTCTACTAACCAGTACCAGGGGCACCATAAAGAATAACTCCTTTGGGTGGTTTGATTCCCATTTCATCATACAACTCAGGACGCGTCAGGGGCAATTCTACACACTCCTACAAAAACAATTCATACATTTTATTATTCATGAAAAAGAATATATAAAGAATTCTTTAAACAACATTTTGTTATGAAAACAATGTCCAATTTTAACATTTGAATGTTCGAGATTAGTTTTTATTTAAACTGAAGTTCCTAATGTCTGCTTGTCAATCTAGGTAACCTTCAGAAAATATCTTAGTGGATTAAAACCTTGGTTAATGAACCTGGTGACATATTAATTGCGAGTTCAACCCCTAGTCTAGACAGTCCAGACTCGGTAGAAACAGAGCAAGCAATAACTAAGCAGAGAATAACAAGACTAGATATCCTAAGACAGGTTCAGTAGAATGAGAACAATCTACCCACATAGATTAAAAACAAAGATGAGGACAGTAATTCACATGTAAATAAAAACTCATCCCAGAAATATTCTGAGATAAGGTTTATTTTAAATTGAAGGGCCTAGAAATAAAAGAGACAGCTACCTAATAACATCTAGCACCTCATTTAACCTGAATAACAGAAGTTACACAATGTGGTGTCTATGAGGTGCTGGTGTCACTATATTTATTATTTATCTAGGTGCATTCAAGAGCAATATAACTGTCTATAATGGAGCTGTGGCTGCCAAGAGATTTAGTGGGGTCTGCAACATATACAATACATGCAAAATGGGATATAAGTCAGCTAAGTGTTCCTAAAACCAGTTTCATGTTACTTGTACATGATAAGGTTTCTTTGTCATGCTGGAATAGGCCATCAAACATAAGTATAAAATTTTCAATAAAATCAATGTATGTCATAGCGTCAAAAGAGACTTCAGTTTTACCAATGGCTTTTGTGATTACAACAGAAGTCAAACTCATCCCAGAGTATTACAGAGCAAATACCAACTTGTACAACATCTTGCTGACAGATAGGATCTATAGCTTCATATGGTCATCCACTTGCCTACATATGAACTCAATCATCTGCTCCAAACCATTTGAAACAAAACAGTGTCAGCTTTCCACACTCCAACCAGTGTTTTCTTTCTTGCCCAGTAACTAATGCTTCAGTGTCAATAATGATACCTTTTTCAGTTGGTAAGTACAAAGGTCATTGAATGCAGTTTATACTGTACAATGTGTTGAATGATGGACTGAGTAGCACCAACACTGAATTAGGATTAATTTGAGGCAAAGTACCCTCTCATTGGGTAGTTGTCATCCTTTTCAGTTGCCAGTATTCTGTTTCCAACATTGAGTACCCAGTTTCCCCATACTGCTGCTATTTACACAGAATTCACTGTTGCCACCTCACCTAATAATTCTATCTCACTTAATAATTCTGCAATCAAACAGTGCTAGATCCTGTTTGTGTTTCATAGTTTTCACAGCTACACTATGTCTTTACATACATCATTCAGTTGAGTGTATTTCTGCAAGTGGGGAATGAAGAAAACATTTAATTTCCTGCTGTCTCTAGTTTTGTGGAACACTGGTATATACACTGATTCTTTTAGACTAGTTCCTCATCTTTGTTTCCTTTAAAATTCCTGATAGTACAAGTTTTCCAAACTTTTTTGGATTCTACCATCCAGTATTATTTGAGCCAGGAACAATTTTTTTCATAGGTGGAAAGTGTATTTTGTATTTGGTATTTCAAACTATTATTTATAACTAGCTTAAAAGCCACCCTAATGAGTGGCATTTAAGCTAGATCCTGTGTAAGGGCTCATGATTGAGCCTTCATCACAATAGGTAGGGAGGAGTAGATACAACAGGCGACAACAAGCTACAGAACACAAAATTGAACACTGCATTGAAGTATTGCATTAATATTTAAACCTCCCTTTTAAAAGTTCAATGATAATTCTTCTGCCGCCACTTAATTTAAAGACAATTTGATGTACGTAGGTCCTTACTTTCCATACAAACAATTATTTTCTTTTGCTGGATTTCGCAATAATTTTGATTATTCCCAAATTTTTTGTCCAAGTTATAAAAATTGTTATCGTACAAAAAAATTTGTCAAAAAAAAAAAAAAAAAAAAAAATTGCAGCAATGAAAACTTGGGAATCAAAAATTTCAGGATTGTGGATCCAGATCCAGCCTGGAATGCTTTTAATTTCCTCACAGTCAGCCTGATTCCAAAATGGTATATGTTGGGCTACTGCCTCGAGGAGTAATGTTGAAAAAGTGTGACACATTGACATCTGCATTTATTATACAGATGAATTTGTTCCCTGACTAAGAACGGTTTTATTTGTACAACAATTGTTTTTGCCTTTTTGGTATTTTATAGAGGTTTTGATATTTTAAGTCAGATGGAATAAACTTCAGATCTTGAAATATCTGCAGAGGAATGGTTAGGGGATTGAACATTTCTATTCCTTTATCATTTCAGTTCAATTTGTCATCTTTTTTTCCTCACTAAGGAGCAGTGTTATTACTATTATATACAGCAGATTCTTTCTAAATGAATCAACATATATTGTGCACTTAAATTTCATATTTGAATTAATGTATAAAAGACAATCCCATTATAGAATAAATATATTTATTGTTGAATAAGATATTTTAATAAAAAATAAAATGTATAAATTTTATTATGGAACAAAAGATTATAATATCAAAATTAATCATTTTTTTTTTTTTTTTTTTTTTTTAATGCCATGCCTCTTCAGGATATAAACTTTTTATAGATACAGAGCAAGGGCAATTATGCCTCTCTACTAATGCCAATTCAGGTTTTCCTTCTCTTAGATTGATTGTTACCTAAAGCTGGAGAACCCTATCTACTCTGCTATTTAACACACATCTGGAGAAGAAATAGATTCATGCCTTTCTCAAGAGTATTAGTGTGAAGTGAACACAACCCACAAGATCAGGCAGGGTTAGATTAGACAGTGTAGCCCACAACACATTTTCAAAATAGTAAATTTTTTGTGTTCATCAGAATAAATTTGGTGACTAATCATATACAAAAGAAATCTGTGGAAGCATGACTTTATTCAACCAACATTTCACTGTTTTTTGCCTTTTTAATCCTTTCAGTGCTCCATAGAAGAATACAAAAGAAATAGTTGTCTTGTTAGCCCTCTCTCTAAATATCATTTTCTATCTCACTCAGTAATTTTTTCTAAAAATTTACTCTTGCAGCCCAGGCTGCAACTCATTTTCTGCAATCAATGAAGGCTTCCATATTTTTTTTTAAATCATGCAGACCTGGACTAGACCAGAGTTTGAACTCTGCTTACCAATTACACTTTCCACACCAATAACTGTTATACATATACTGATCATTAAAAAAAACTTAGTCTAGATGTGCATGATGATTTGATTAACAAACAAAAATATGACCCCTTAATATGGGAAAAAAAGAAGAGAGAAACGAAGTCCAAATAGATGGCATTTTTTCTCTTTCTTTTAAAATCATGGAAAATATGACATGATATTTTTTATTGCTACACAAAACTTTAACAACCATTGAAGTTGAAAAAAGGAATTACAATTTCACATAAATTTAAAACAAATTAAAAAAATACAAAATAAATAACATCTCTTCAATAATTCCTAAATTATTTTCAAATCATTCAATTTGTTCCTACATTCCATTTCTATAGAAGAAAATTATATCTATTATGGATACAATGTATATTTATTTTTTCACTTCATTATATTTTTGAATATATTAAAAGTTCATCAGCATTCTTTCATGTATTGCAAATGATGTCACTTGAATAATAGCTGCATTTTATTTTAAATACTAAAAGGAGGCTGAATACACTATTCTCACTTACACAATAATAATTAATGTCTGTCATATGAAATACTTTATATAAATTATACTTAAGTTAAATTGCAGAAGGATAGTAAGATGACATTTTTATTGGTAGGGGTAACTTGAAGGAAATTAATATATAGTTAGACAGGAAATGGTTATGCAGTGTATGTAAAAGGAAAAAAATTCAAACAAAAAGAAAAAGATAAAAGATGTGCGACAAAGAATACTTTTAAATAGAGACGAAACAGGACAGAGAAGCAAAAAAAAAGAAAAAAGAATACGATATGCAATATATGACTATAGGAATTTAATGGATGCTTACATTTTATCTCTCCTTAAAATATAAAGACAATATGTCAAGTGTTAACGGTAGAATTTTTTTTATTATTGTATTAATACAGTGTGTGGCAGAAATACCTCTCACATAATAGTTTGGTTGATTTTATTTAGCAACATATCAACACCTCTATGAGTTATTTAATGCTGAAATGTAAATATTTTGAACATAATCGTATGCCTTCATACAATTCATTTTTTTTTCCAGAGTTTTATTTTTGTTTAGAGGTTTACTATTTGCCCATAGAGCTGGGACTCTAACAGATACTACTACCCTGAGTTAGGGTGAATCTAGAAATAACAGCAATTAAGTGTTGGTTCCATGCTCCTCAAAACCTCCTGATCAGCAGCCTTGCTGCCAGATGTAGTTTATCATTATACCCAGGACTATACCACATAATAGTAAGACATTAGTGGTAATGATGTCTGCACCTAGCTCAGTGGTTCCCAACATTTTTTTTGGTCATGCACACCTAAGCATCTCCAAAATACTGATGCCCCCACCCCCAACTTCTATTCATGTGGAAGAAGCCTAAAAGGTTTTTAACTTGGTCTAAACAAGCTTCCAAAGAACACGGCATCCATGAAAGAGAAAAATAAAATGGAAAGGACAGCTGAAGCACTGAGGAAGAAATTAATAAGAAATTATATATATATATATATATATATATATATATATATATATATATATATATATATATATACACATACACACACACACACACTTGTGTATCATGCAACCTTTGAAGATCTAATTTTAAAGCTAATTTGACTATAGTAAATGGATATATAGTTTGGTCAACAGCATAGCCAGCAGTACAGGGCAAACTAATTTTATATCTTGTGTATGATGAGACTCCCTTAAAATTAGGCATTGAACACACACACAACACAAATATTTTTATGTATGTACACTCTATATGCACCGCATACATTAACTCTCATACACTCACTAGAAAAAAATTGAGTTAATAATTCATTCTCAAATTGCCCCACTACATTGGAAACCAAAAATATAGCTAATACGTCTTACCATTATGTGGGAGCTATTTGTCATACCCTGATTAATGAGCTTGATCTTGAGCCACTCACTATGTAATAATCAACTTTAAAATACAATCACATTCAATAACTACATGGGAATTCTGTATTTACTCTCTAGCAACATTTCAACACAGAGGGAAAATAAGGCACTTCTCTCCTTCCAAGAAATCCAACAAGACAATGTAAGAAAAAAAAAAAAAAAGAAATTAGAATTCCTTACTCTAATTTCTAGGATTTGAGAATCTAAGCCTCCAATGTCTGCATATGTTTCCTGCGGAGCCTTCTCCAACTTCATGACGGTAACCATAGGATCAGTGTCATCGGAAAGGACACCAACCACAGCGTGGACCTGAATGAATATAGGAATTTAACAAAATGAAAATTACAAAAAAGAGGGAACATTTAAACAGTAAACAGATATTATCAAAAATCTTAAAATGTGCAAACACTTGGGATTTAAACAAAAGCAAAAAAAAAAAAAAAAATACATTATTTCAATAAGAATTGCTATGGTTTATTCTAGAACTTCAATTAAACCAATTTTAAGTTTTTATTTTGTATTTGTAATTAGTTAAATGAACACTTATAAAAGCATAAACTGTGTTCAAAATAAATTTATTGACACTATAAAATGACAGATCTAATAAAAACAAACATATACATGGCTTTACATGTAATGTGCCCATTTCTTTTAGGCAATTTTTCTCATCAGAATCTATCTTACATATTTATAAGTCCTACCATTTGTCTATGCTTTTTTATATTTCTGCCACATCTCGTCTGGTGCTTCTGCTATATATTTAGAGATTCTTGATAAAATCCAAAGAAAAATCTACAATGTTATTGGTCCTGACATGATATCTTGCTTTCAATCACTTTTCCACAATCATAAAATACTTTCTTGTGCCTTTTCTATAATAATTTCATTGTAAATCTTCTGATTAACTTTTCACTATGACTAGACTTTATGAATTTAAGCACAGGTCTAGATTGGCAGCAAGGTCTCATCATTTTACAGTTGAAATGGCTAGATGTAACTGTAACTTCTATGCTAACAGTTTCTTCTATTGCACTTCTCACTTGTGGAACTGTTCTGGCTTCTTGCTTTCCAGTCAACTTTGATCTTCAAGAATTTAAATGCAATATCAATCGTTATCTATTGTCTTCTTTATTCCCATTCTTTTATTGTTCTCTCTCTCTCCTTAATAGTGTTTTTCTTTTAACTCATATTGCATTTTAAGGACTTTATTACCTCCCTTGGGTTGAAATGATTAAGTAAAAAAACAATTTCTATGCATTCAATCAGTAAGCTCCTGATTTGCACACAATCTGACAAAGTTCAATGCTGAAGGTGACAATTTAACTTCTTACTTTATGGACAGATTGAATATTCATTTTCATGCGTTAATAACATAAAAGTTACCAAAAAACAAAATTCAACCTAATTATCAGAATTACTATATTTGTCAGCCTGGAAGGCACATGTTTTACAAAGATATTTTTGGGCTACAATCCCTCACAACTTCTAGCTGTACAGTTTGATATTTTTATTTTTTTAACTTGGCCTCCTATCCATTATGCTAGCTCTGTAATATTTGGATATACTTTAACAAATTTTGATTTTTGTTGAATCAATTAAATCATCAATAAAAACTAGTCAATTTTTCAGGATTTAACTTATTTTAATTTATTTTTAATGGATAACCAAATATGTAGTACTAAATGGGGTGTTTACCGTAGCCAATCTTTATTCACCAATTATTAATATCTTATTATGATTAAAATATATTGGATATCAAAAGTCATTTAGTCTTCAGATTTTTTCATGTAATTATTATTCAAAATCTAATATTTACATTAAATGAAATCCTTATTTCTTTAATATGATTAGTGATATTTATGCAACATAATTACAAGAACATTTTTCTCAATTTTTTTTTTTTTTTTTTTTAAAACATATATCAGAAAATCATCTCAAAGAATAAAAGAAATTAATGTAATCACCTTATGGTTGAGCAAAACTGAACATCCTGGTTCAAGTTGATCTTTGTCTACAAAGGACAAGATGCTAACATAATGTTCACTGCCCACAGAAGTTGACACTATGGCATGGCTGTCATCAATGATTTCTTCCAAGGTTCCCACAGACATTGGAGACCCTCTTAACTCATCAACTTTACTTCTTTCTTCCTACAACAATGAACAAAATAAAAAAAAAAAAATTTCAAATATATTACAATGATACACTACACAGAGATTTACTAAACTCAGTATAATCTAACAGAGTCAATGAAAAATCATGTTGAACTCATTTTCCAAGTACTTTAAAAACAAATATTATTTACAATTATGGCTTTTTTTTTTGTCTGGGCTTGAACACAGCCACTCACACAAGCAGGAGTAAGAAATAAAAGAAAAAAAAAAGGCAAATACAGATGGGGGAGGATTGTGCAATAAATATAAACCAAAGTAGATAGGTTTGCCTATTGTTCAGTTCATGCTCCTCCCTTATCTTTTGAACATGAGTAGAGGTTTATTCCTTGTTGTCTTTTTAGAATTGGGTTCCCGGTTCCTTCTAAAGTCTTCTCATTCTGTTCCCCTCTCAGTAGCCTCTTGCATCTTAGTGACATTATCATCTTACTTGGGGTGAATTGATTAAAAAGAAACAAAAAAAAAGAAGAATCCATTACAAGGGATGATGATAGTTCTTTTTAAGAAACAACATGTGAGTGAGTAGATTTCAGGTGAGTAAAGAGTTTCACAGGTCTAGACTAATCCTCACAATTTCTCAGGTATACCAGCCGATTAACCTGAAAGGCTACCTAGTCACCAGGTGCAGATTTTGCTCTCAGAGGATGTCAGTGGCTGTCCCTAATATATAAACAGGTAGGTGACCCAGTTGCACTTAGAATATGCACACATAGAGCAACTGGAGATGGAGAGTCTCTCGTACATGCTGATGAGAATAAGAATCCATGTTCAGTGAAAATTCCCCAAGCCACACACCCACTTGCCAATATTAATGGACAAAATCCAGATAATAATTTTACATATGTGAGATTTAGTCTTGTGTTCTTATTGGTCTTTCAATAGCTTTTACATTTAATTACAAAATAAAAAAAGAAACATGAGATCCTTGAAAATGTCATTTTAAACTGATTCAGAGGATACTTTTTGAAAAGACTAATATCTAACAATTATACAGGTAGAGATAAAAAGAAACACACCATAGGGATAATTTATTAAAAAGTATAATTATACATGAAAATTTAATTGTCATATGTGCTGTTCAAAATGTCCTCCCTCCTCCTCTTTCAAAACACATTTCGATTCTGTGCCTGCATGATTCATTAACACATCAGAGAATTTCCTCTGTCATTTCACTGCATTCATGTTTAATTCTTTCCCCAATATTTCTTGGGCTTGTCTGACAAACAACTGATTTCAAATGGCCCCACAGAAAAAAAAAATCCAAGGGTTTAAGGTCTGGTGACATCGGTGGCCACTCAACAGGATCTTTTCGACCTATCCATTAACCCCTATGGTGCGTGACTTTTGCCTCACACTGTATAATCAAAGGGAAAATTATGAAAGTAAATGAATAAATAACGAGAAGTATTTGAGCATTAATTTATACAATTCCCATATACCCTGCTCACTTCCAGAAATTTTGATATATGTGCCTTTCTAAAACCATTGCAACCAAGAAATTAGTAAGCAGTGGTGGATGGTCATGACTAAAAAATAAAAGTCTTATTTTTTATTTAAAAAAAAAAAAATAATGTAGAAGGGACAGAATACCTCTTGTTTTTCCTCTTGTGGTTTCAAACGTTCCTGATTTCTGATGAATTCTTCTTCCATTAAAAGATAATCCTTTATCCTCTCCAGTTTTAACAGTCTCAGACGACATCTTGTATGTGGAGTAACTGCAAGAGTAAAAAGAGAAAACAAAATTTATTTTAATTTACATAAAAAACTTTATAACAAGCATCACAAATTAATAAATAGTCAAGAAAATTATCAGTCAATATTCTCATGTTCACAAATTCTGTCCAAAAAAAAAAAAAAAAAAAAAAAAAAAAATAACTTATCAACCTCTTTGAAATATTCCCCTTAGATCTCACAAAATTGTCTCCAACTTTGCAAAACTATCTGTAAATTCCTCTTTCATGATCATTAACAGCCACTTTATAATGCTCTCTGACTCAGAGTCTGAACTCTCCCATTCAATGATACGTTTAGCCTTTGGAAAAGACAGAAATATCAGTAAGTCAAATCTGGACTGTAGACAATCCCACAGACCTGGGGGACACAATTGTTTTGCTTAAAACCCTGCCTGGTTGGAACATTATTATGAATTAAAAAAAGTCACACAGTAGTCAAGCTCACTTAATGACATCTCACTGCTAAGAAACTTTATAGGAGAGTATCCATACATGTGCAGTGCAGTTTGTTTAGCAGCATATCAACAACTTCTTATGGGTCATTTAATGATGAAATTTAATTTTCTTGCGAGCATTAGTAATTTCTTTTACAAAAATGTATTGTTGGTAATTTTTTTTTTTTTTAATTATAAAATTGTTTTGCTTGTATTTTTACTATAATTTTTTTTATACTTTCATAGAGTTTTGACCTCAATTTGGGGGTTAACTATTTGCTTATAGCCAAGACCCTAACAGGTGCAACCACCCCAGATCAGAGTGGACCTGGGAACAATAACAATCAAGTGGTTGTTCCATGCTACTCAAAACCTCCCGATCAGAGGCCTTGCTGCCAGATGTAGTTTATCATCATACCCAGGACAGACATGTTAAGTAAGTTTCCTTCAAAGCTACCCAGTTAGAACAAGGCAGCACAATTAGTTCTTGAAATATTTTAAATGGTTGGATACTTTCCAGACAGATATCACATTTTTATTGGAAATCCCAAAATTTCAACTACAACAATTTCTAATCAAATTTAAAGGTTTTAAAATAAAGCTTTCAAATCTAGCTATTAATCACATAGGACCAAGATATTTTTTGTGCAATATTGTATTAGTAAAATACTTCTATTCCAAAATAATTAGTGTTTCAATAACTTCACCACAATTTGATTCACAGCCTGAGTAAGAAAACTCAGAAAGAAATTTCTTCCATTAGCCACTTTCAACTGGACTCAAAGATTAGAACAATCAACAAAAAAGCAAAGATGTGACAGTCTACAATTTTAGACAATGATGCATTTGTTATTGTTCACTTTTGATGAGTCTTTCTATCATCTTATTTCTGTCACGTTTTATCATAACTCTTGGATTGCTATTCTCCTAGAAGTGGAGAGATTGGAAAATTGGTTGTAAACATTTTGTTGATGGAATTTGGAGCTAGTTAAGAGAAGGAAAAGTTCAAAGCAATGTAGCCGGCTTTCTTTTAGCAGTAAGGCAAGTACACTATTTACATTATTCGGACTATTGTCCTCATCTTTGTTGCCATATTTATTACAACGTTTCAGCTGTTGTATGCCCCAGCTTTCTTCAGGTGGTTGGAATGTCAAACTGAACCCTTTATTTCGCTCACTGTGCCATGTGTGTCCTTGAAGCACAGTGGATAAAGGCATTGGTTAGATCCAGTGACAGGACCCAAAGGGTGTGAGTTCAATACCCGGTTAAGGCAGTGGAGAACTTGGAGAGGGGAATTAACAGGAGATAACTGATAATGAACATCCATTAAACATGGCACATGGAACTAGAATGGTCTATGCCAGTGAGCAAAATAAAGGGTTCAGTTCAACATTCCAACCACCTGAATATGGCCGGAGCGTACAACGGCCGAAACGTTGTAATAAATATGGTGACAAAGATGAGGGCAATATTCTGAATGATGTAAACAGTGTACATAATACCTCATCTCAGAAATATAGACAGATACTGAAAGGCCAAAACGTTGTAATAAATATGGCAACAAAGATGAGGACAATAGTCCGAATAATGCAAATAGTGTACATAATACCTCATCTCAGAAATATAGACAGATACTGAAAGGCAAGTATTTGTCATTTCCAACAACCCAATTGATCAGATCTTGCAAATATCATAAAAGTTGTTTTTTTTCTTGTTTTTTTTTTTAATATAAACCATGTATGTTTAAAGAGGACAAATTCCTGAAAAATATATTAAAAATCAGTGACTAACAAAAAACAGTGAGATACATTTTGTTGAAATTTCACATCATTTTTCAAATAATGTAAAACCAAGAGAGAAAATAAATTTCAATGTTATAACAAACAAAATAATGGATAGTTTAGCATAGAACTAAGTTTTTCAAATGAAGTTGATTTTTTTTAAGAAACATTAAACACTCACTAAATGAGACTTGAAGAGAAAATTATAGATGTAAACTATTATAGCCATGGCAAATATTAAACTTCAGGGGATTATTTTATCAATATAAAAAAGGGACTATCTTAGGTGTTTTGCTCTTTTTTTAGGTCAGATTTAATAGAATAAATTCATACTATTTGATCTGGGTTGGTGAATTTTATGACATATCAACCATATTGGGTTATTTAATGTCAAACTCTATTTTTTATTATATTCAAGTCAATGGACGGACACTGGTTGACTTTACACACAAGTCTGTAAGTGGACATCAGTTGGGTTTGTGCTCAACTCCATAGGGGAACACTGTTCAGGTTTATAATTTAGTCTACATCATCCACCATTAGTGAAAATGGTAGCCTGCTTTCCTTTCTTTTTTTTTTTTTGCTAGGGAAGATGCAGTCAGTGTATTCCTGGAATTGCCGACAAGACAGATGGAATTTGCCATGACAGAAAGACAGTTAAAAAAAAAAAAAAAAAAAAAAAAGATATACACAATAATCATAAGAAATACTTACTTTGAGGCAGTTTATTGGCAGCATCTGGTCCCTTCAGTTTCTTCTTCTTTTTCCCTACTCTAGTAGGCACAGGTGGTTCATACTTCCTCTTTTTTTCCTAAAAAATAAATTTATAAGCATAACCACAGTTATAACTGATGAAATTTCATTAGGAAAAAAAAAAGAAAAGAAAAAAATCTATCAATTTTTGTTAAAGGTTTCATGGACTTGACTTATTTTAATCTCATGCTAAAAAACGTTATATTAGAGCAATAAAAGCAGACATTAAAATTAATTAATTCATAACAAAAAAGAAAAGCATTTGACTAAAATACATGGGCAGATGACAGAATTAAGGCTAGTTTAAAAAGATTTTGAAAATCACAAATTTATGATTTTCCTTTTCTAACATTGTTAATAGTATGATAAAAAAATTAAAATACCAGATTGAAAGTAACTGAAAATTAAGTTAAAAAAAAATAGTCTTTTTTTCAGATTTTTCTTTGATGAATCCCTGATGATTCCATTGATTATCCTCTCCACAAATGACATCTATATATTAATAATATGCTTGTACCTACCTACCATCCATAAGTGTCTGTCACGCTTTCTTTTTCGTTAATAATATAGCAAAATTTGGAGCTAAAGCTATTGTAAAGTTGCATTATATTCCTGAAGAAATAACAGATCAAACCAATTTTTTTTTTACATTTAATCAATCAAACCCTTGCAAACTGAACTAGGGGCATGGCAAATGTAGAAATGAATAGATTCTATTTTTGAATAAAAATCTAATATACACATGTTCAAAAAAAATTACACCTAGTTAACAAAATGGTCACTAAGATGCTTTTCTAACCTACATACCAAGACAAATTAAAAATATTTCACAGTTTGGTGCCCATAAAGTTCAATAAAATTAATTTAATAAGATGAAATCTTACAGAATTGTTTTTTTTAATCTTTTAAAAAACTGTGCCTAAACTAATGTAAACGAATCAGCGAGATCAATTTGTTTACATTACATGCTGACTATTCACACCCAATTAAGGTGTTAAATTAAGATTTTAATTAACAACCAAAGATACAATTTGTCAGATGGGGCCTATCAATGTTTAAAATCAAAATAAAATCCATATCCATTAGTTATTGATTTATGGGTGTCTTTATTTCCATACATGTGTGTTCTGCCATTGATTTACTTACATAAATTAGCAAGTAGTAAGGGCGAAAAATTAGTTTAATTTTTATTTTATTTCCAAACTAGCAAACAGATTGAGCCGATCTTTTTTTTTTTTTTTTTTACATTTAATCAATCAAACTCTTGCGAATTGAACGGGGTGGGGAGGGGGGATGGCAAGTGTGGTCTATATATTAATATGCTTTACATATATACCTTATCCCCTAAAAATTTGGTCTGCTTAGCAGTATATGAAGAAATTCTAAGTAAATA